GTGATTTGCAAAACGGTTTAGATACGATGAAGTTGGGAGCTCAACAAACTGTCAAAATTAAGAATTATGCTTGCTTGGTAATTATATTATTAACTAACTTGAACTATCCGGCGTTGTCGGGTTATCACAAAATGTTAGGGAGATCAAAACAAAGGGAAGGAGTGGAATGTGTCCAGGTTTCATGGTAGCCTATATTTTCCGCAGACTCCTAGAGAATAATTATGCAAAATTTGATCTAGATCAGTCAAAGAGTTTAGGAGTTAGTAGAGAATATACATTTTATTTTACATATAATTATATATTATTATTAATTATTAATTATTATTATTATTACTATTATTAGTGTTATTATTATTAGTTATTATTTAGTGCCTTTTAATTATGTCATTATTGTGTCCGTTCGTCAGTAATGACTTTCAATTTTGACAGTTTAGTGAGCTCCCACTTACACACACACATACGTAGGTCTTGCGTCAATATGTTCAGCTTAAAAAGTTGTACCAGAAGCACAACTATTGGTGGCGAATCGGCTTCTCGCCTCGCGACAACCGTAATCAGTCTCTAATCACAGTCCGACTGTTCGCGTTTCCATAATTATCGATACGCAAAGGTAAAACATCACCACCACCACCACCATTATCGCGCGCAACAATAGCAACCGCGGCCGAAGCAGCTCTCGTGCCACCGCTGCCGGGTCAAAAAGCAAACGGAACACCCTTGGCGTCGTAAATCGCGGCCTGATGACTCGATAAAGCGCGTATGCGCTCGCGCTCGCGTAGTGTTGGGATAAACCGGCGATCTCCGATCGGCGATCATCGATACCCCCGGCTAATGACCACTTCCGGCGGGGAATATCGGCGCGCGGCGCGCTCATTGATAAATGATTACGTCAGTGACGTCGGCTGGTTCGGGGTGGCCGCGTGCACGCCGCGCCGAAGGACACGCGTGTTCGCGTGTATCGGCGCGAGATTTGCAGTCGCGATACCCCGGCGATTCCGGCCCGATCAATATGAAGCGAAAGCAAGCCCCCGCCGTCGCGCACACGCGGACGTCGTCGTTCCGCGGGCCGCGACACTGCTACGCCACGGTGGATCGATCGATCCTCGCTTATCGTCCGATCCGATCGATAACGCGCGGGAAGAGAAAAAGAAAGAAAGAGAGAGAGAGAGAGAGAAAGGGAGTCGCGCGGGTATCGCACGCTCGCGATCGATCGATCGATCGGTTGCGGGCGTGTACCTACACGGCGAGCCGATAAATCGCCAACGACGCCGACGGCGTCGACTCCACGGTGTCGAGGAATTGAATCGGTCAGTGGTAGAAGGGCTCGCGCTACCAGGTGGCTCGGGAACTTTTGTCGTTGTAGCCGATGATGTTGTACACGCGAACAGTACACGACTGTGTGACGTAATGTAACGTAACGCAACGCGTAAACGTGCGTTGTGACATCCTTTTCAGTTTGTCACGCGGAAGAAACTCTTCTTGTCGTTTGGCGTTTCGACAGATGGCGCTTGGAGGGGTCGGTAAGATCACAAAAGCAAGGACACGCGTCTGATCCGGAGCATTTTTATTGTTTTGGTCTTCAGATACGGATACTTAAACTTTGGGCATAAAAATACATATACATATGTTTTATCTTGAAATTTTTACTCGTATTTAAATTCGTATTCGTACAGTAAGAATGTCCACGGTTAGATAAGTGTCCGTAGACTGGTGGGAGAGAAGGTGGTAATACAGACTACTTTCGTGTTTTAGACAAAAAACTCAATATTATAAATGCAATAATTGCATTAACCCTAAGAAGTGTTAGAAATATATATTTCTTATATGTATATATATTTCTTATATTTTCTTATATGTACATTATTACTTCAGCTCATATCATTACATATATCAAGAAGGGAAGGCATAATAATGTATCCATAATTAGGCAAACAAATTGTTTCTAGAATACAAATTTTTTTTAAACATAAGAATTGGGTCTTAGAAAATGGAGTGATAATATAAAACAGGCATGAAAATAAAAGAAAAGAAGCTTACTTTTTGTTATTATAGAGTTGTTAAAATAGCTCATTTTATTAAATTCCTTTGAACGTAAAAATCATAAGTTAAGAATAAAAATAGAAATTTCCTATAAAGATTAAGAAAGATAAGCTCAATAATTCGGATTGAGTAGACGTCCTTCAGGTCAATGAACAGAAGTCTCATCGGTAGAAGTGTTATCGGAGACTCGTCGAACGAAAAGTCACGGCGCGATGGTGGATGCTTGATGTCTCAATAAAGCCGTAAAAAAAGAAAGGGGGAAGAGAACCAAGCGAGACACGTGTGCCCGCGGTGCGTAATTACTCGGTGGAAATTAAGCATCGAGATTGAGTAACGCTGGAAAGCCACCTACCGAGATATGACCAGCGGGAATCCTTGCGCAATTCAAACGTAACACGGACAATTTTATTTTATTATTCGGCGACACTCGTGCGTCAATTCGACACACATCGCTCGTCTATCTTCCTTCGAACTCGCCGGCGCGTTTCGAAAGTTTACGTTCGCGATAGGGAGAGAAGAAAACGTCGTGCCTGTGTCATCTCTCTCGCGCATTTCGGCGCAAAGAGACCAAGTGCGCTCGTTTCGTCATAAATAAGGGACGCGCTCCTTTTAATACACGGCTGCGACGCTCCGAAGAATCGGGGACTTCAATGCGCGCAACTCGCGCGCAATTATCTCTGCTTTCTAATTCGAGCGCTTGCGAAGAGACATGCTCGTGAAAATGGTCTCCTGCGTCGTGCCGGCTGTTTTAAGTGGATGACCCGCCCTTTCTGGGGCTTATGGAGATCTCGCGAGACTTTCACGAGAACGTACCGCTGTATGAGTGTACGAATGAAGAAATTAAGCGTCTGTGGGAACGAGGATCTAGATCGGGTGTGTCTGTGTAAGACTCACAAGGTTTCTTAATATGGAACGACGAGCCAATTTGAAAAATTATGTAGTCATGAACACAACCTGTGTCGGCTTTCATTAATTAGTTCATATTTCACGATTAACAATCTGAAAGCCTTGAAACAATAATTCGTATTATACAATCTTCAACGGAATTCTTTTGCGATTACAAAATCTCCACTTAAAGATCTTCATAGAGAAACTAATTTATTCGATAAAAAGGAGATGAATTAATAGGAAGAGAGTATGTGATTTCAGAATATCTCACACAGAAAGAATGTTGTAGTAAAAATTATAGTACCATTTTAGTAGTTCGGGAATAAACTGACATTATTACAAAAATTATAATAAAACATAATAAAAATTACCATAATTTTTACTATGTTTATTGTCACTTTTACTATATTTTACTATAATTTTCATCATTTTCAGTGCTAGTTCTCTTCCTATTTTGCGATTTTGTAGTCTCTCACTATTCTTCTCAAAATAAATATTAAAAATTGCACATAACCAACACATCCCTAGAGCCATACAGCCCCGGTCTCCTCTACCTTAGACATCCGGCGATCGTTGTACTCGCAAGGTGCGCATTTGTCGTCGGACACGAATTTATTGGATCCGCGGGCAAAATGCAACCCTTCCTTCATTAAACCGCGAACAGGAGCCACTTTCTCAAAGGAAAAGCAAGATTTCCCGGGCTGGTAATTGGTTTTACACGAGCGGCTCCGTTTTTGTTCAGCGTGACTCAGCGAGCGAGCGAGCGAGTCAGCCACTGAAAGCGACTCGAGAGACGAAGTCGAACAGTTTTACCTGCTCCGCGGCCTTGTTAACGAAACGGACGTCCATTTGAGACCATCTTAGCGCGCTTCCGAGAAATTCGTTTCGTTCCTACTAATTACCAGAGGCGTCCTATATTTCCGCCGCCTCTCTCGGTTCGATGTTTTCTCCGCGAAACAACACTTTGGACGAGTCGGGCGCGCCGACGTTCCGCCGCGTCGGTGCCGTTTCGGCAGTGCCTCTGGTGGTCCAGCAAATAAAGAATCCCGCGGTGCTTGTTGCTGGAAATCGCGCCGCTGTTTTTCGAGTTGGAGATAGTATATTTGTCGACTCTGCGCGCAACGAATATGCAACGCTGAACGTTATAAATAGCAACGTGTGTCTGTGTGCGCGTCTGGTATTGACGATATGGCAGGATTTCCTCGAGCGAGTAGTCAGAAACATAAAAGTCATGCATGCACGTTGCATCAAGAGGAACAATAAATTTGAATATCCGCGAAAATAACGAAAATTACATTTATCTGTGGCTGCACGAGTGAAGCAAATAACTTTTCCATATTTCCTACAAAAGCAGCGGCACACAACGCTACTTAAATATAATATAAACATTTATTATTGAAAAATAAGATAAACTGAAAAATTATTGGGATTAGGGAAATTATTAGAATATTGTAAGAAAAATTAAAGAAGTTATTGGGAACATTATGAGATAAAATAAATTATTGAACAAAAAATTTAATCAGTTAAAGCAGAGAACAGTTAGTAAGAGTCATCGTAGTATGAAGTTTAAATTTTTATTTTTGTTTTATAATTTTAGGAGGATAATAATTTCTAATAATGTTAAACGCACGCAGGGATTCCTGGGACTAATATACGCGGAAGATCTATCTTCTATCGGCTTGAATCGACTCTATAATCCTGATCATTTAATATTATCCCAATATATCCCTTAATTCCTTTTTATTAATTAAATAATAAGCATTTTTATTTCTTTTATTTTTATTTTTATTTTAATACTTTAATTTTAATTTTAATTTTAAATATTTCTCGAAGTGCGCGCGCGTATATTTAACACTGTTAGAGATTATTATTCTCTCCGAGATAAAAGTCTGAATTTCGCACCAAAATCTGCAGTGGCTCTTACTGGTTCTTCTCTACTTTAACTGATGTATATGTGTACGTGTGGGATGTCCTAATCAAAATATAGTCCGTTGAAGGAAATATTTCTTGTTACATAAATGTTTCTTATTAAAGAGAAGTCGCGAATAAACCAAGTGTCTTTTTATTTTCAGGTTCGCGATCTTGTGGAGGGTTGCACGTGCCCCACGCAGTTCCCGATGATCCGCGTGTCCGAGGGCAAATATCGAATTGGCGACACCAAGGTCTTGATCTTCGTCCGGATACTGCGCAGTCACGTGATGGTGCGTGTCGGTGGCGGCTGGGACACCCTCAGCCACTATTTGGACAAACACGACCCGTGTCGATGCAGAACCTGTGAGTATATCGAGCCCGTACATTAGACCCTAAATCTAAACGAGTCGTCGCGACTATAACACGATCGTCCTTTCTTCTCTCTTTCTCAGCGCATCGCTCGATGATCTCGGCGAAGCTCATTCAAAAGGCCGGCGCATCCTTCGATCTGGCCAGCGCGCAGGTGCATTATGAACGGTGAGTACTTGACTTTCTCTCTCTCCTTTATCACAGCGCGTGCTGTTAACTCATCAAAAGTCGTAATTATCTTATTTTTAATTAACCTCATTTTTAATAAAAAATTGGCCCGTTTATTTTCAAGCAGTTTCAAATTGGCATTACAACTACTTTTATATAACTGTGCGAATTAAAAGCTGAAAATAAAATTGTATATTAATCAGGCCATTTTATATTCGATGAAAAAGTTTTGTCCTATAAATGAGACATTGGTCGCTTAACCCTAACAGTCACACTTTTATTTTCTATGCTTGAGTAACACTTTATGTACGTCTATTGAACGTACTTTTATAAAAAGTTATTTAAAATTGATTAAACTATTTATCGTAAATTATAATCATTCTTTTCTTTATTTGTAACATAATTTTCACGCATAATTTTGATTTATTTTTTAATTTTTATTTATTTATCGCATTTTAGGAAATCGTAAAATAACACAAAATAATTGAATAGTGAATAGAGTCATAGAATAAGCATAGTATAGTCACAGAATAACAAAAACTTAACGTCAATGTTAAATTCAATTTTATGATCAAAATCAGTTTTAAAATTTACAAGACTGATTCGCTAGAAAGAAAAAAAGTCGGTGATCATAGCTAATAATGGGAGAAGGGAAATGGGGAAAACTACACTAGTAAGTGCGCAAAGCGTTTTGATGTGACTGTCAGAGTTAATTGCGAGATGCAACGAAAGGGTGCCACTCGACGACGAGATCGGCTGGGATTTATTTTCGTTCGAGTGTCTCCCGCACGCAAATGCCATCCGATGCGTAAATCTAATGGCTTCGTCAACATTGTCTGAGCTATGTATACGACACTCTATTGCGCGCGACACTTTTATTATAGCATAATAAAACACACGCGTAAACACGCATCGTTGCGTAGTTTACAGTACCGTCTATAAGTGCATCCGATTGAAATAGCGGAGAGATAGCCCTTCGAGTGGAAATGAGCTATATCGTGTACTTCGTTGTACTATTTAACTTTTGCGATAAATAATCAAATAGGTCAAGGTTCTCTCAAGAAAGTTTCATGGTCAAATAGAGGCCGCTATCTTGCTTACCCCTATAAGTGCTGAGATTGACCTTGAGCTAATTCCTCTTGCATAAATAATCATCTTTGGGATGTTGTATCAAGCCGCAAGAGATAAACAGAATACAGGCGTGTATCACTTGATGTGGGTTATTTGTTGGTCTTGCGCGCGAACTTCTGCACGATAGTGTACGCGCGCCGTGACATTTGGTCGCGGAAACTGAAAATTCTCCAGCATACTCGGCCAGAACGACACGGTAACGACCAACATCAATTCCGTCGTAACGCCCGGTCGTTGCGTTGTTTCCACCCAGATCACCTCCGAGAACGCGACGGAGTTCCGCGTCGAGCATCGGTTCGTGCGCCGGCACGGTGCAGGGCTCGCCCCAATCGGCGCAGCTGCACGCACCCAGAAGCATTTCCAGCAATCGCTCGCGATCGCCCACACCTCACCAGTCCGGCAGCAAACAGCAGCAGCAGCAGCAACAGCAACAACAATCGAACGACGAGCCGAGAAAGATAAATCGCTCGAGAAGTCCCACGCCACAAAGGAAATTCCTGGCGAGTCCGAATCACCAGGCCGATTTAGGGAAGCAGAGATCAAGGTCGCCGACGCCCAGGGCGAATCTCAGGTCGAGAAGCCCGACGTCGCGAGCGGAGCCGAAGAGCAGCAGTGCGGTGTCGCCGACGAGTCATGGGAAATTTCAGGAAAACGGCCGAGTAAGTTCACTCCTTTATCGTATTTTTAGTTTTTCGTCGAACTAACGTGAAAGTATTAAGTCGTATGTTGCTTGGAAAATTCGAACTTTTGAACATACACAACGCGCGCTTAAAAAATCACCAAAATTTTAAGTACCATTAAAACCTTGATTGCCGCGTTGATTTCTGTCGATTACACGAAAGCTTATGATTAAAGAAGATTCAGTTATCAGAGATACGGAATCTAGATACGATGAATAAATGTAATTCGATACATTTGTTATTTCGTCTCATTGACTCTCTGTTGCTTCTAGCCGAATTTTCAAACGCAGTTAATTGTACTTTAACTTAACTTTTCTGGTAAATAAAGGATTCTGAATTCTGTGGATTGTATATTTTATTTCTCGTTCCGAAATCGTAACGATCTTTCAGATATCACTTTCTTTATTACGTTAACTTGGTTGTCTCGCGAGTCTCACGAGGAACATTTTATGCTGTTCAAGGACGCGAACAAAAGGCAAGAGCTGCAACAGCAGCAAGCGAAACTGTCGGAGGATTTTGTGAAGCGTTACGTCGTGGAGGGCGGCGTGGCGCGTAGGGCCGTCGAGAAAGACGGCACGCCGAAGTACGAGCCGGCGATTTACAACTACAAGTGCGGCGAGGACTCGAGCAGCAGTCGCAGCCCGACGCCGAGTCCGCCTTCGAACAAGCAGGAGCCCGCCGAAACTTTCGGCAACGAGGCTCGCCACTGCCAGAAGTCGCCCCACGGCGACAGCGAGCACTCGGACAACGGCAGCGAGGTGTCCGACGAGGGTTACCGCAGTCTTGGTGCCGTCCAGTCGTCCATGGCTAATGGGAACTCCGCCAGCGCGCAGAGCTCGCCCACGGTTGCCGATTGTCAAAGTAAGTGAACGAATGTGCATTTCTCTCAATGTTACTTTTCGCGCTGCGGTTTCGCTCTCTTGCGACACTACTTTGTAACCAAGAGAGGGTCACACTTTATGCAATAATTATCTAGAATAAGATACCATTTTCTGAAAAGACTGAAATAATGATAAAATTCATAAAAAATTTAAGTAGGTAACTGTAGAGAGATAAATAATAAAATAGCATGATATAATATCTCAATTAGTCAGATTTTCGTGCCGACTTCTTGTCGTTGTGAATGTCGTTAGAATATTAGAATAGTATTGTAGGTACATAAAGTGAGAAAAAAATACTTGGAAATTTATTTGTGGGACAAAAAATTTGCTCCTGTGAAATAAGGTCGATTTCCATGAATACATTTTCAAGTAACTTTTTCTCATTGTAGGAATATTGAGTCCAAATTATTTCATATTATCCAAATTATTTCTTTTAGGGCTCTTGAGGGTACGTACTCCATAAAATAATATAATAATGAATAATTATTATTGTTATTATATACATGTGTTATAACTAGGGCGGAGACTAGCGTTTATATTTTTTGCTATTTTGACATATTGGCAGTTAATTAGTTACAACAATTATAAATATTCAAGTTAAGAAATATTTTATATTCGTTACAAAAAATAAAAATAGTATTGTGATTCGAAAATGTAGATATACAAAATGACTTCCTCTTGGTATTGCAACGGTATTGATTCGGGATCGCTGAGTCGCCGTTTTCCGCGGACGTGAAATTTGTCGCTGCTGTCACACGTCGTACTGGACACGTGCGAATGTCTTGTTTACGTCCGAGACGCGAGATCGCCTTATTCGTTGATAGAACCGATCGTGTGCTCGTTCTCCGTGAAGAAACTGATAGAGGCTCATGACGTTTGTTTCCCTTGCCTGACTGAATATGGTGACGCGCCGATCGGACTCGAGTGTCCAGCGTTTGGACGTGCTCTCGCCATCATCGGCGAGCGAGTCATCGAATTTAATAAGAGGGTAGAGAGGACGAGGTAGAGGAGGAGGAGAAAGAGGGCGGAGGGGCGACGGAGAGCAAGAGAGAGAGAGAGAGAGAGAGAGAGAGAGAGAAAGAGAGAGACAGACGGACAGACATGGATGTGCGACGTGCTCGCGCTCGATGAACAAACGCGCATTGTGCGGCGGACGACGAGGCGATGTCGCGTGTCGAGGCGCGAGCGAAAAAACTCGGCCGTGTGCCGATGCGAATCGAGAGATTAAATTCGATTACGGCGGCGAGGAGCGAGGAGAAGCGCGCGCTTTGTGCGCGAAAATAGAGAGAGAGAGAGAGAGACAGCGAACGGCAGAGAGAGAGAGAAAGGAGGGAGAAGGAGACGAGAGAGAAAGAAAACGAGATCGCGTGCGCGCGGATCGAACGGAATTTAATAGCGCGACCGCGCGACGTTTATCTGCGGCTGTCGATCTCGCGAGTATCGATAACGACGAATTAATTCGCTCGTTGAGGCGGCGGCGGCGCTTTGTGCGATGGTAGATAGAGCCGATAAATTTTCTTTGTCAGAAGGAAAGAGGTAACGGTGCGCAGGGAGAAAGTTGCCTCGCGCGAAAGAAGAAAGAAAAAAGAAGAGGACACACGGGAGTGCGGAAGGAAAAATTAATTTTACTCATCTCTTCATATTTATTTATTTATAGCAGAGGAAAAGGAACCACCTTTTGGTGTACACGAACAGGACAAAGAGAGAGAGAGAGGGGAGAGAGAGTTTTCCATATTTACAATGACGCAAATGGAAATTAAATGAATTATAAACTATCAATTTTTCACGCGGAAGAAGATGATGTATCAGCAGCATTAGTGCCATTGTTATTGGTTCAATGACGATGCGTTGTTTCTTCGGTAAAAATTTTGCAATTGAAATCAACGATAAATACAGTTGAATCGATTGATTCGTGGTATCGACGTTTCATTGAATCTTTCATTCTTTCAACGGTATTCTCTTTCCCGTATAGATAGCCATTTTCGTTACGGATCTTCGTGGAGTTGCGTGGAGACGAAACGCCTGTACGCGAATTTCCTTCAAATCTCATCTTTCCCACAACCTTTGCCGGAGAATCACTTAATAAATATCACGATGTCTAATCCATCCGCAAAAATGATACATGTCAAATATAACGAAAGTCCGTCGGCGAGATTTCGCGGCGATCGAGGTGTTGTTTTCCCACGACTTGAAACAATTCGCCGACATCGAGAGAGACGACTCGCGACGGCGACGGCGATCGTGGAAACCCCAAAGTCCCGTTATCCCGTTACGTACGGTCAAATGAGCTCGCTGAAAGCGACGATCTCGCGATGAAAGTCCAGTTTGCATCCGCGGGCTTCGGATCGAACTGTCGCATAAATCCACCGCGCCGATTTACATACAATGTACAGAAATTATTGAGAATTTATACGAATTTACGCACACGTACGCGCCCGCTCGCTCGCTCGCTCGCGCGCGCGCGCACGCTCACTAGATTTGCACCGTCTCTCGCATTAATAACCGCGCCGTCGACGTGGGATCGGGCGGGCCTTTATCGAGACTCATCGAGACCGTGCTGTCACTCGAACGCGCGACGAGAGGCCCCGCACTCGATTCACTCGACGCGCCAGCTGATAGCAGGGCTCACGCCCGCGTCTCCGCTCTCGTGTGTGTTTTCGAGCGCGCCGGGACATTGTCCCGCGAATTCCCCAGGAACTCTCCCGGGCTCGCTCGCTCACGAGCACCTGACCCGACATTTGGACCACCCTGTAGACGATTAATATTCAAAGTACACAGACACGCGGAGAGCTCTCGCTCTCGTATACGCGCGTTATAAAAGCGCGCGCGGGCCCGCGCATGGGCCGGGCTGACATTTAGCCGGGGCGACCGATTATGTGAGGGATCGCTCGAAGCGTGGGCGATCTCCAACAACCTGTCCTGTCCTCGGAACAATCGCCGACGGTCGATCCCCGATAACGCGCTCCGGTCGTATGCTCTCGCCTTGAACGCGCGCGCCAGGCATTACTACTTGGGATACTCGACTCACTTGACGCGGTTGACGCATTGCCGCGCGGCCCCGCCAAGTGGAAAAAGTCCGCGGTGCTCGGCCGCCGATGCTTTTCTTCCACCGCCGGGAAGTTAAACGGGCCGCGACAGATCTAGCCTCACCCGCTGATCCCGGGCGTTTTCCGCGCGGCGGGAACAACAACTTTTTCGCAGGGGAGCTCACCTCGAAGGCGCTTGTGCAGGAAGTGCGCCTTGCTTTCCAACGGCGCTTGGAATCGTCTTGTTTGTTGCTTCGCGATACGTATTCCTTCAATTCACCGCTTTCGCACGAGATACATCAAACACGTATGATGTTCTCCTATCAAATTTTACGACCTTTTTCTTCCTTTCCAACGAGAAAATGTGAAAACTTGAAGCGTAGAAGAGCGCGCGGGGTGTAAGACACGCCGATTTTTCCATGTTTCGTCGTATTTCTCGCGTCACGTTGATTTTTTGCACCTGCTTCCGGAAATTGGTATCTAAATGCAGATACAGCCGGCGGAAGGAGCCGATTGTCCGGATGTGAAAAGATGCAGACAGTATCTGAATATTGCATCTAGATACTTAATAGCACACTGAATGTAAGTCACTCTTGTTCCTCTTTCAAGCAAATGGAATGATTTATTACAGTCATCGCAGAGAAATCAGGGAGCACGGTTTGACCACACAAGCTATGGCAACTACGAACCATTTTATGCGCGCGTGCACTCGACTCCTTCCTCTATTTACCTCCGATTTATTTGCTCATAATGCTTTTTCTGATTATATATTATTTCGAGAGTCGTTGTACAAGGTGTCTGATGATAACACAAAATTCTCGTCTGGATTAGATCAAACTGCACAGAAAATCCCTCTATCATTTTGTAAATAACCAGGTAGATCTTTGACTTATTAATTACAAAAGATTCGTTAATGATCGCGCAGAACCGCGTTTCCTTTAGTTAATAACTTCCAAATAACCACGTGGTTATTCGTTCAGTTTAGCTTGATTTATTTAGCTAATCAGCCTAATCTAAGCACACGATGTCATCATGGCGTCGCCATCACAGCTCATTTGCCGGATAACGCGTGATCATTCGCTAGTCTTCCTTAGTTAATAACTCAAAATTTTACGTAGTTATTCGCAAAATGGTAGGGGGATTTTCCGTGCAGTTTGGTCTGATCTACACGTGCACGAAAGTTTCATGTTGTCATTGGACACCCTGTGTACTCCTTCGTACCTTTCGCAACGCGCGGCCACTTGTCCGCGCTAAAAATTGGAGCCATCGATCAAATCGTTTCGAATCGGCCGTCGTCCGTTCTCGGCCGAGATGAACTTTCGCGTTACATTTCGCGAGAGATGAAAGGACCGGAGGCGTTCTAAGCGCAACGTTCTAAGAACGTCTTATTGATTGAGATTTACGCGAGAAGCCGCAGGAGGCGGCCCCGGATGACTCATTCATTTACATCGATATCTTTAATTTATGCGATGGCGCTAGAACGCGCACAACTTAGACGGGACACGCATGCGGCAGCAGCGCAGTCGTGATACACTCGACTTGTTTCAACGCGATATGAGACACGCACGCAATGCGCCGCGATGCGCGTCAGCGCGCTCCGCTTAGATCTTGCGGGAGACTCGGTCAGTCGAGAAAACTCTTCTTCGAGAGTAAAAACGGAGAGTAAAAACGGAATCGCGCGGCGATTAAGCAGCTCGGCTAAGACAAGCGTGAAAACTTGTTAAGAGCGTAGCGACGAAATTTGTTCCCCTTTCTTTCGGACACGCGTTCGTTT